ACGCGGATGTGATTCTCTCCATCGAGTCCCAGCTCGCTGCATTCAATGGTGATCACAAAAATGGCGTGAGATCGAGAGCTGTGCTCGTTCATGTTGGTGGCACCAACTGAGCGATTTTGGTTTCCCACGTTCATGACGTGCTCTATCTCTTTGACACTTTTTGTAACAAAGGAGGACAAATCCTTAACATACACACCTGTATCCGGCCTCTCTTTTAACTCCAGCCGTTTGGATTGATCCTTTGATAACAAGTCTCTGATTTCTTCTTGGTATATTTCCAAGTAAGAAGCTCTAACTAGGTATTGCTGATTTTGGGATCTAGAGATGTGGGTGAAGATGTGATCAAATGAATTGGGGATGACCCCTCTTTTTTCGGGATCACCACGCACCCCCTCCATCGTGTATGTTTTCCCCGTTCCAGTCTGCCCATACGCAAAGATTGTCCCGTTAAAACCTTGCAGCACAGAGTCCACGAGAGGTCTGAAGGTCTCATCGTAGAGTTCAACCTGCTTGGAATTCCAGTCGTACACAGCATCGAAGGTGAAAGTTTTAGGCAGTTCATGAGATGTTCCCCGCGGATTCTTCACTGAGACCTGCCCTAATTTGACATCCACGTTAACGACTTTTTCATACGAAGCTACCTTCTCTTTGCTGTTCATCGGCCGGCATCGTACCACCACCCGAACAGACTCAGAGCTCTTTAACTTAGACATGACAGCAGGTCTGTGGCTGGCGTGTGCTGATCAACGGCTGATCCAGTGCTAGAAACCTAGAACAGAAACAAAGAAGGCATATATGAAGGCAGCTTGCTGCACAGAGCCAATATTTGACTCATCTATTCAAGCAGAATTTTGCATTACGTTCTGAGGGATTTTGAAGAATAACAATTAAGGACAACATAAAAATTAAAAAAAAAGGCCTGAGCCAAGACAGTATTATTTCACCAAAGCCTATCAGTATCAGTTATACAGGTTCTGCTGCTAAGAATCTTCATCAAATCTCACCTTTGCAGTTGGCAGAGATCCTTTTCTTGACCTTTAAAAATAATAACGCTTTTTAAACTATTTATAAAAATGATGTAACTCCTTGCCACTGATTCCCTTTGCAGCTTAGCTTTTTGTTTTAAGTCCTGTGCTTTGTAAATCCAGCACAGACCTGCTCTGTCCATATTGCTCAGAACGCAGCTGCAGGCTCATGAAAGGAAACCAGCCGGTGATTCACCTGCGTGCTTCACCTACCTACCAACAGTCGAGAGATTACAAAACACAAATACAGTATTTTCAGAGTTGCCTCTTTTTACGCCTCCTACGTATTGACAAAAACATCTCATTTTTATGAGGCCACCTTTATGTTACAGTCTTCTCACACGTGATGTGATGTGATGCATCATCAGGACCATCCTGACACAAGAGGTTTAGAACCTATGCCCTGGGTTTTCTTTAGTGACAGCGGTTCCCTGGAATGCTGCCCAAATGCTTTTATGTCTTCTGCATTAAAACTTTTAAAGTCACTTTCTGAAGCCTACCTACAGCATAATAGATCTTTAATTGGGCTACAGCAGCTGCGAGGCTTCGAGACAAAATCATTAAATGGTTTGTCCATTTCCAGGCATCCCATCCCTGAACGTTCCAGTTTCCACACCTGGGAAATCTGATGTTACTTTCACTTTTCTGTCAAGAATCAAGTGACAGGAAAATAATGGTTACCCCAAAGTTTTCCCACGTCTTCACAATCTAGCTGGCTGCAAAGTAGAGCGTTACGGCAGCCAAGCGTAGCAGCGTTCCAAGGCTTGCAGATACTGTAAGCCAAACCAGCCAGGGGACCAAATCACCCCAGTGAGCTGGACTCCAAAATCCGTTGGCAGCTAAGAGGAGCATTAAAACGGAGGTGGCATTTCCAGCCTGTATTCCAGCAGACAGTAGAAGGGAAAGCTCTAAAGGTGGAATGACCCATGGTACGCCTCGCCTAATCTCAAGCAGTCAGAGGACATGAGGGTGCGAAGCGGACGCCTGCCAGGTTTGCCCTTCTCAGCCTTCTGAAGGTGAGTTTAAGCTCCTTCCATATCACTTCCAAACATTTCATAAAGCTCTCAGTCCTCTGAGGCCACCTTTGTCTTTCTCTAACATGATTGCCCTCTGGGACAGGATTCTGCAAACGAATGTGTTCCTCAGCTAGAGCTCGTGCGTCTGCTTTTATAGGAAACAGAAAACAACCCTGTGTGCCTGAGAGCCTTCAAGCACAACTGTTCGCACAGACCTATGCTATTGTTTTTCTTTCCCCAACACACTTTTAGGGGGATTTTCCATAAAAGCCAGCTCTGCTCACGCATGCCAACCGCACAGCCCCCACGCTCCTGCTCTGCTGCACCCGCTGAGCAGGGACCACCGGGCTCACAAGGCTCAGCGCCAGCCTGAAGGCACGGTGCACAAATCCAGCTCAGGGACCCAAGCCGTTGATGACTCCGGGCTGCAGAGGAAGACACGTGCTGCTGCATTTCCCAGCAGTTGGCACCACGAGCTGCCATTTAAAACAGAGCACAAGGACTGCGTTGCTGCTAAAGCGGCAGCCTCGCACTGAAGATCTCAATGGTACAGCTTGAGAAATGCAGTGTGATTTCTAAGAAGTTTATTTTTTTTTTTTTCCAAATGCATCTTTCTACCAGCTGGATCTGCAGCAGCCCATGGATTTAGTCTGGTTTTACTCAGTAACTGCACGTCTCCAGAGAGCTTCTCAAGTTAGGTGACAGAGAACTTCAAGAGCAGAGCTGGAGGACTGAAGAAGGAAGCAGAACGCTCCTATCTCAACGCCCAGACTGCAGATCTGCACTACAAAGAACAGCACAAGAGGAACAAACAAACACGTTGAAGAATTGTATGGAAACCTCAACACGACCTTCAGAATTTCCTTGCTGCTGTGCAGGGAAGCGCCTCACTCCCTCGTTGTTCCCAGGAAAGCATTTAGAGGTTACCAGCAGGAAGACGAGGACCGTGCGTGGGGCTGCCCAAACTGGACAAGCATCCAGAAGCGCTCAACAACCCGCACGCTGCACTGGAACCGCGGACAGGAATTTGGGATTGCAACTGAAGAAAAACATTTCCCTCCTAGCTGACAACTCCAAATAAAGATGACCTTATTTTCTGGCCCACAGGGAATGTGTATTTTGGTATACCAACAGAAAAGAACACTTGAAATGGGGACAAGTCTTGCAGAAGCAGAAAAAGCAACTCTTTCTCTACTCATCGTGAGTAATTATATATATAAATGTGTGATGTGATTCTCTGACGCTTCTCCTTCCCCACCTACCTGAGATATTCCTACAGTTCAAGTTCACAAGAGACAAGCTCCCAAAACAAGCAGCGCGTCATTTATCTGCATTGCACGGGAAGCGCACCTACTGGCAAAGACTCAAATTAGGCACAAACTCTGACAGGAGGAGCCTGGTCCTACTTTATTCAATTAATAACCAAAATATAACATTGATGAGAAGGGCAGCTTGCAAAAGAGATGCTGACTAGGATGAAATGATGAAGATTAAGTTAATCTTCGCATTGGCTGCTTTGTTTTTCAAGAGCACACATTGCTGTGCACATACTCACCTGGAAGTTAAAAGTGAAATGTCCAGCACCTGTTCTGTTCAGCTTTGGCAACGCATACCTTTAACAAAAAATGTGCTGCATGTTTGCTGCTCCTCTGGGTGTATCTCAGCAATATGAGCTTCCTAAACTTTTGATGCATTCCCCCGTTTCACTTGCAAGTCTCTTTTTATAGACCCAGATAATTTCTCTTCCCCTCGATGTGGGCTATTTTCATAACAACCTCTCACGAATCATCTCCCCTTATTTTAGCTGCTGCTCTGAAGCTTCCTGAGAGAGCGCAGCACACCAAATCGCGTTTCTCCCCAGCCTCACCCAGCTGCGTGACCAGGAGCAGAACCAGTCGGTGGTGTTTGTGCTCACAGAAACTCTCCCTGCAAGGCCGGAGCTGGACAGGGCCTGCCCAGAGGGACCTGGCAGCGAGACGCGGCGCAGGCTGTGGCACCACAAACTTCTGTGCCATGGGGACTCCTTCACACAGGGAGGTCTCAAGAGACCCGGGTCAGGCCCCTGAGCATCCTTTTGGGTCTCAGGGCTGAAGGAATTGTGTTGAAGATGGCTCCACGTAACCAAGATGGGGAGCAAAGGGAGCATTTGAGGTCTTTTCTATGACAGCAGACTGCTCCTGAGGAAACGAGCCCTGCCATGGGGTGGCTGTGGGCTAATGTGGGTTCTTCTGGTCGGGATATTTGGCGGCGAGGACGTGGCACAGCTGGACACACCTGGGCGACCCCAATGCCTCGGCCCTCACGAGGCTTCCCCGCATGGGGTGCGGAGATCTGGGTACAGATCTGGGGAATTTGGGGATCGCTGCCCAAATCCTCACCTCGCACCTCCCAGGCACCACCCTGAGCCCCCCTGAATCCCACCGCCGCTCCCCCCGTGTGAACCTTTCGGGTACCGGGGGGGGACGACGATGCCCTGGGGCTCAGCCCCCCCCTCGGGCCCGGTGCCCCCCGACCTCCCCGCAGCCCCCGGCCACCGCCCGGGGCCAACCGCCCCCCCCGGCCCCCACTCGCCTCCCGCTGCCGGGCACCGCCCGGGAGCCCCCAGCCCAGGCCGGGCCCACCGGGAGGGACCGGGGGGGGGAAAACGGGGACCCCCCGGGGCCGGGCCGGGCCGCGCCGCTCTCACCTGCGCCGTCACCATGGAGCCCCGCGGCCGCCTCCTCCCGCGGCACCGGATGCGGCGGGGCCGGAGCGGCGCCGCCTCCCCCCCACACCCCCCCCTCGTTCCCCGGTCACTTCCTTGGCAACGCCCGCACCCGCCCCACGCCGCCGCTCCCGCAGCGCCATCGGGCCCGGTAGGCCCCGGAGCCACCCCCCCGGTAGGCCCCGGTAGGCCTCAGGCCCCCCCCCCTCGGTAGGCCCCGGAGCCCCCCCCGAAAGAACGCGCAGGGCAACGGCATTGCCTACAAAAGCTCTTATTGTTAGAAAAATACGTGGTTTTTTTTCTAAAAAAATCCTTTTTTCTCCCTCTCCCCCCGCCCACCCCCGGGCAGCAGCGGGGGGCTGAGGCAGGGGGCATGGAGCCTGCCAATCTCCTTCACAGCACTGGGGAGGGGGGTGGAAAGTAACAGCAGGAACAACAAAAACCCAAAAATGCCAGAATTAAACCCAGCGAACTGCACCAGAAGCGGCCAGCCCGGACCCACAGCCTCACGAGTGGCACTATCAGGAATTAACCCCAGTTCTGCAGCCTGCATTCAAAAAAAGGTGACAGGAGGAGAAAAGGCAGTGGGCGCTTTGAGACCTGCCTGAAGGCCCCGATGTGGTGCCAGAGGTAAATGGATAAATGCTGGGGCAAAATGAAGCTTTTTGGTGGTTTTGTTGTTTCGCCGTTAGTGTTCATTCAGTTCGCTGTAGGGAACTTGCCCTACCGCCAGGGGTTCTGTTGTCAGAGGGGTTACTTTTACAGAGTACAGAAATCATAAAAACAAACCATTAACACAGACCTAGGTAAAACATGCACCAACCCACGCTACAGCTACGGCAGGACCTTTAGCTTAAAAACAATTACATTTCTAACAGAAACATCCACCTTACATCAACAGCTACAAAACCCTAAGTTCCCAACTCGACTACAAACAATCGTCCATCCACGTCCCTCCAAAAACCCTTCCCCAGTTCAATACAGAGACCATCTGAACATGTAACTGGAACGAGTAAACGTGCTGCCACCAGGCTTCTCCAGCACCGCTGGAGATCGAGGCGTTGCTCCACAGCCGCCCACTCAGCACTGCTGTGAGGCAGGTGTGGAATCTCCCGCCACAGGGAACGGAAAGTGAGGCACCGAGGTGATGTGGGTCCAGCAAGGCAACAGCTGTACCTGATAAAACCCAGATCTTATTTCCTATCCTGAGCTTTATCTTATCTTTTCAGGACCATGATATTTCTGACAATACTTCACACTTTAAAAGAACTTACAGTCAGTTCTGGACAGTGAGAAGCTTCTCAACATCTCCAGATAAAAATTACTAATGGTAAAAGAGAGGAAATCTGAGCAGCTTCTTTGTAATTGTTTGCAGACCCCCAAAAATGAGGATGGAGAGATATATAAATTACATCATAAGAACCGTATATGTATAGTTTCCAGTTTCCTATAAACTTCATGATTTAAAATTTCTTTCTGCCTGGTATCGCCCTGGAAACACAGAAGTGAGGATCAGACAGAAGAGTGACTGTGAGGAGTACCCAGGAGCTGGAAACAGCCCTGCCGCAGCCCGGCAGCGTGCTCTGCAGCAGCGCAGAACACCGTTAGCACCCGAGTAGTCCCTCAGCGAGGTACCACACTCAGAGAACTATTGAGCCCGTTCCTCTTTTGGTCAGAATTCATCCCGTAACCTTGGCGGGTGGTCCATGCCAAAAAACGAGGAGGGTTTTCCATGCACGTCACGTTCTCTTTTTACAAAGGCAGTAAAGGAGGAGACACAGTTCCCGATGAAGTGATCGGACTGGCCGAGGATATACAGATCGATCTGAGCCACCTCCGGCTGCAGGCTCACGACTTTGACCTGCAGGGAACAGCAAGGAAAGTAAATTAATCCAGTCACCCTGTTGTTACAAGCCAAATGGCTCAGCATAATACCAGCTTTTATTAAAGCACTCCTGCTGGAATAAGATTTATCCTAAGCTTTACCTTTCCTTGGAAGAACTGCTGTATTTCCTTCGTGTAGGGCTCGGAATCAGTGGCAATATAAACAGACTTAGCTTCTGTCTTCTTCACCCAAAGCTTGAGAGCACGTTTGATCTCTTTGAGGTCCGGCAGGCACATGTCCATGGTGAGGGGCACAGCAGTGCTGCGGTCATAGCCCACGCACTGAGGTGATGCCATGAAGTGAGCCCCGGCTGTCCCGTCCTTTAACATGTTACAAGCATTTTTCTGTTGGAAGAAGAGAAAACATCACGTTTGAACGGAAAGGCTGCAAGAACACACCAAGAACATGCTACCAAGCCCCCCACGCCTTCCAGCAGCGTTACGGTCTGTCTGCAGGAGGAATCCCAGCAGCATTCCTAGCAGCAAAATGCAGCAGTTACTGAGTGCAGGCAGGTTCAGGCTCCCATCCCAGAAGGGCAGCTTCTACTCCAACAGCTTTTCCATGGTGTCAGCCACCCACCTACAGCAACGAGCCCCGCACCGAGCCATACCCAATCCGAGCCGATCCTCAGGTGAATTCCTACAAACGGCCTGACCAGCAGGGAGTGAATGTAGGCATCTCCTTTCTTCACCATCTCGTCAGACCACACGATGTACTTCTGCAGGGGGCGGTGCTCCTCTAGGACCGGGAACTGGGCTGGAGCCCCAGGTAAGGCAAGTACGGGGTGCTCGGATGGTGGAAACCTAACGAGAGGAAAAAAAAAAAACAAAAAAAGTCAAACAGATGGGAGTTTAACAACCTTGCACACACAATTTTGCACAAGGACTGCTGGAAACAAGTTCTGTGAAGGTAAAACAGCCTGAGACATACAGCACCTGCTGCTCCGGATTTACACAAGACGGGTCTGAACCATTTTGCTGTGGGAACAGAATGGAGCAAAACTCCAACAACACATTTTACCTCCCACCCAGTAACAAATTCACTGGTGTTCTTTGACAGATGAAAAGGTAAGAATCTGATACACATAACAGTGAGCTACCTAGCAATGACTGCTTACGTTTTCATCCCAGGCTAGAGCAGTTGTCACTCAAACATATCAACATGACTAAAGTCACTCGTGGCTTTGTTTTCCCGAGTTAATCTAAATGTCTAGAGCATCACGCCAACAGTTCTCCAGCTTCTTGCTACCTTTGGATCCACTGGTCCTTGTACGCAGGACTGAAGGAGATTCCCTTGAAGAGTTCAGACTTATCAAAATCCACTTTGAACTGATCCCAGAACGGACCAAAGGGATTTCCATCCTGCAAAGGAGAGACAAGCGCTCACTCAGTGCACGCGTGGGGTCTGAGAGTGAGCTAACAAGATCCCAGGCTGCAGAGCCAAAGAGTTCCTCCGTTACAGGCAGAGCACAGAGGGAATATAACTGCCTGCCTGTCCCTTATCAGTTCCATGGGAAGGAAGGAGTGAAACATTAAAGAGAGTTAATTAAGAACTAATGCAAAAGCTGCTTTAAAAGAACAAGAACACCACAGTCATTAAGTGTTTTGAAGGTTACTCTAAAACAAGCTGCAAAATTATACCACAGACAGGAACCAGGCAAGGACCAGTAGGAGACGGGCATTATTTGTTCCAGGTTTGCTTTCCTGACAAGTCACAATCAGGTCAGAAGAGGTAAGACCCATTTACACAAACAGCCTTCCCTGAACCCCGGGCATTTGCTGGCAATTCTTTGGAAGAATTACAAAGAACTCTTCGGAAGAATTGCCAGGAAGGCGCAGCAAGGCACACAGAGCAGCAAAAGGAACATCACTCGTGGAGATTTGGGGCTGTTTTTGCAAACAGAGGAGCCAGCCAGCCCCAAACACCCCCAGCGAGCCGTGCTGTGAGGGGCAGGGTGCCCGTACCTTCATGGGGCAGCTGCTCCTGTCCGCGCTCCTCTGCGCCGCCGCCTCGAAGCAGTAAGCCACGCGCTGCCCGGGCGGCCAGTGCCGCGGTGCCAGCTCTGCCATGAAGTCCTCGAGGCTGAGCACGCGGTGGTAGCGCAGCAGCGGCTGCAGCTTGAAGTACTGCTCGTACGGCACGTGCAGCTGCGGGCGGCGGGCACGGCCTCACCGCGGGGCCGGCCTCAAGTAGAGCCCCGGTACCCCGGGACCAGGCCCGGGCCCTGCCTCCCAGTTCCCTCCGGTGCTCCCCAATGTTCACCCCAGTCCCTCCCCCTCAGTTCCTTCCCCCAGACCCCCCGGGTGCTCTCCCCAGCCTCCCCCCGGTTCCCTCCTGGTGCTCCCTCTGCACCCCCCGGTTCCCCCCAGGTCCCTCCCAGTGCTCCCCCAGTGCTCTCCCCAGCCTCCCCCCAGTTCTCCCTCTGGTCCCCCCCCATTTACCCCCTGGTTCTCTCCCGGTCCCTTCCGGTGCCCCCTCTGGTCCCCCCGGTTCCCTCCGGTGCTCCCTCCCGGTGCTTCCCCCCGGTTCCTCCCGGTGCTCCCTCTGGTTCCCCCATTTCCCCCCCCAGTGCTCCCCCTAAGTTCTCTCCCAGTCCTTCCCAGTGTTCCATCTGGTCCCCCCGGTTCCCTCCGGTGCTCCCCCTGGTCCCCCCAGTTCCCCCCCGGTTCTCTCCTGGTGTTGCATCTGGTCCCCCCGGCTCCCCCCCGGTTCCCTCTGTTGCTCCCCTCCGGTTTCCCCCCGGTCTTTCCCGGTGCTCCCCCCAACCTCTTCCCAGATCCCCCCCCAGTCCCTCCCGGTGCTCCCTCTGCTCCCCCCGTTTCCCCCCCGGTGCTCACGTTGGTGTACGGCGGCCGGTGATGCCGGTACTCAATCCACGGCGGCACAGCCAGCGTGCGGTTGAGGGCTCGGGCGAATGCGAGGGCGCCCAGCAGGTGCTCGGCCTGGTTCCCGAACCGGCCTGAGGGGGGAGAGGAACGGGCCTCAGCCTCCGCCCCACCGGGCCCCGGCGGCGGGCAGGGGCGGGGAGAGGGCTGCGGGAGGGCCTCACCCATGCAGGGGCAGTACAGGAGGTACCCGGCCGCGTCCCAGGCACCGGCTGCGAGCGGCGGCAGCAGCAGGAGGAGGAAAACAGCGACGGGAGGAGGCGGCGGCGGCGCCATGGCGGTGGCGGAGGAGGCCGGCGGGAGGCCGCCCCCTTCCCGGCATGCCCCGCGGCAGGGCCGCTCTAGCGGGGCGCGGGCACCATCGAGGTGGCGGCGGGCGCTGACGTCACTCCCACAATGCCCCGCACAATGGGGCCGCCGCGGCCTGCGCCGGAGCCGCGCCTGGCGGGGCCCGGGGGAGCGGGGTGAGTGCGGGGGGGGGCGGGGCGGGGAGGGGGCGGCACCGGCTCCCTCCGGACCCCCCCCAAACCTGCACCGGCTCCTCCCGACCCCCCCCTCCTCATCTTATCCACCTCCCGGGGCTGCCCGTGAGCACCGGGGGCGGTACCGGAGGGGTCCCGGTACCGGCAGCGCCCCCCCCACACCCCCCCCCGGGGCCTCCCCTCAGGGCCGGTCCCGGGTTGCTGCTGACGCCATTGCCCGAGGGGCACTGGGGGGGCCTCAGAGCTGAGCTCCCGGTACCGGGCACCGGGCAGAGGCTCGGGGGGCTCGAGCGGGGGCAACCCCGGGGGGCACCGGGGGGCTCGGGGCGGTGCTGGGGCGGCAGCGGGGCCGTGGAGGGGGGGGGGGGGAAGCGGGGAGGGGGCAGCAGGTGCCTGAGGGCTGCAGGCTGGGTGCCTGTGAACGTTAATAATGACAGTTAATTATGATAATTAATTATGGTAATGGTAATAATGAATTAGTGGGAAGCGGCAGCAGGGAAGGGGCAGCGAGGATTTGGCTCCCGAGCTGCAGCCCCCGCCAGGTGCTGGGCTCCCACCGGCTGCAGCTCTGCGGGGTCGCTGCCGGGTTCTGCCGGAGCAGGTTGGGGCTTTAGCGACGTGGGGAGGCTCAGCAGAGCTGGCCGGGGGGCTCAGCTGGCTGGGGGAGGGAAAATTAAAAAGTCAGAGGGTTTTCAGCAGGGTGAGCCCCTCAGGTGAGCTGCTGTGGAACAGCTGGGCCAGGGCAGTGCAGAGGGAAGGGGATGAGGGGGACCCGAGGCCGACCTCGCCGGTCCCACCGTGAGTGTGAGCAGGAGGAAAAGGGGCAGCGCTGGAGCAGCTCCTTAGCAGCAGGCAGAAGCCAAGGATGGAGAAATGCAAACTGCACAGCGGAGAGACCCTTTAGAAAAGAGGAGCTGCAGCTGCAAGGTGTCAGCCAAGCCCCCGTCCCACTGTCCCTGCCGCAGCACAGCTCTGCTGTTGCCCAGGTCAGAGATCTGACCCAGGCTCCTTTCGGTGTTGCCCGGTGGTTTTTAACCTGGGTCAGCTCCCCCACGTGGTTCCCAGCACGGCTCTGTCACCGGAGGGCTCTCAAGGGTACTCGGTAAGGAACAGTGCCTGGAGGGGGTTTAACCACTGGAAGAAACGGTCAGAGCAGGTGGGGGACTGAGCAGGGGCTTGCTGTGAAGCTGGGGAGGTTTTTGTAGAACTGGGACCTCTCTCACTGCGTTCTGGGCAGTGACAGCTGGCTGGGATCGCCCACGCTCCCTCCTTGTACGATGCCTTCCAGCTTTAATTCGCACAGACCCGATGTGCACAGTGAAATATTTCCTGTGTGTTGGCAGCCAGTGGGCATCCAGCCCTCAGGTGGATCGTGTTTTTTTTCCAGCTTGTTCACTCTGACAACCTCTCAACCTCTGTAGAACTAAGAGAGAGGAAAATTCTGCTGGGAGTTTTCTGTACCTAGCCTATCTGAGGTTCCTGGAGCTTCATAGCCTGGAAGTGTTTTTCAAGGACTGCATAAGACAAACAGGCTCCAGGTGCTGGCACCGCCGCTGTGATGGAGCACAGGTTAAGTGTCTCCACGCAGCGGTGACTGTTACTCTCTGCTGGCCACAGAGTTTAGGGAAGTGCTGCTAAGAAAGCTGTTTTAAATATGAGCACAGAGATCACACCGAGTTTTTAGCCAGGTGTGAGTTGTGTTGTTACCCTCCCAAAGCTCCCTGTCACGGTGCTTATGCTGTTCCTTTTAGGTGAACCAAGCTGCTAAAGCGTTTTCATTGCTACTATGCCAGACCCTCATCTTGTGTTTTTTTTTTTCCTTTCTCACTCTGCAGCTGTCAGCGTCCTGCCACTTGCCTTTAGAATTGGAAACAGACTCAGTAGGCAGAGTCCTTTTTCTTGTGAGAATCTCACAGTTTGGTTCATGAAATTTAACTGTAATCAAATACCAAAATTACCATGTCTTAACTCATTTGGATTTTTGCTCTAAAGGCAACAGGTGGTTTGTGCACCTTACTGTTAAAGGCAGCAAAGTTGAACTTTTGTCTCCTTTCAGGTAGCTTTGAAACTGGCACAGATGGCCGAGCGTGTTCGGAGGGAAACAAGCAAATACCTGGAGGAAGTGGCAGAGAGACCTGGAACGTGTACGCAGCCCTGAAGCAGGAGACAGAGAACATTCACCACGTTCAGCACCCATCATACAGAGGTGAAATACCCGCAGCCCTACACGCCAGCCAAGACCTCTCCAAAGCACGGGATTCCTGCAGCCTAAAGGGTAGGAGCAGCCACCACGTCGCGCTGCGTTGTACCAAAGTGGCGCTCAGCAGGCCCGGTCCTTTTTCCTTGCGCTCTGCCTGCGTGGATTCAGCCTGCCCAAAGCTGAATTCTGTTCCTAGCGGACGTTTCCACACCTCCTGCACAGGACGCATTGTCTTGGAGCCATCCCGTTTCCCGGTGTTCCCCGCCCTGAGGGAACGGCTCGGGTATGGCGTTGATTGTGCGGCTGCCGTTATTGTTGTTTCAGCTATTTATAACCCTCGGCGGGGCACTTTCTTCATGGGGGTTGGTTAGTTCCCTCGTAGTTGCACATCCTGCCCACAACTGGCACTCTTGTTGATGTGCAGGCAGGAAGTTCCTCCCTCTGAAGCAATCATGGAGCGAGAAAGAGCTTGAGGGTTCGATGCTATTTTAAGAAGTTTCTTAGGTAGCTAAATTCAGCGAGAGCTTTTCTGAGGTTTCCATTCCAGCTCACCACGTACTGGTGTAAGTGCTGGTGGAACCTGCCAGAAATGCAGTACTGTGCCAGCGAGACAAACACGACTCAAGACCAACCTGCTAGCAGAGATTTTCTTCTACATAAAAGCCAGCAGAGAATTGCCATAGATTAAGAGGATGCGGGAGGTGCGTTTGGGTGAGTGGGTGACAGTTTGGAGTTCCATAGCGATGGATTAGAGCATGAAAGAAAAAAAAATGTGTGTTACTGTAGAAACCTTGGAATACAGAGAGGCAGAATTTGCCCCGCAGAAGAAAAGAGAAAATGCAATGACTTATCACGCCCTCGAGAGAAGTAGCACCTGCTGCCTTCCTGAAAGGTAGCTGTGTGACGGTGCTGGTAGCACCGAGCTTTCTTCCACAGCCCTGTTCACCCACGTGTGGTAACGCAGGTTGGTGTGCTAGGAGATGGTCTTGCTAGTGCAGCGTGGTGGTAGGAGAGTGGCTGAAAAAAGAAATAATATCTTAAGTTTCTGGTCCAGGGGAGCAAAGAGCAAGAGCAAGGGAGAGTAGCCATGAAGAACGTGACAAAAGGGGATGAGCACGGTCTGCAGAAGGTGCTGGGAAAGGGCAGGTATTTAGAGCTCCAGAGACACACCCACCTATTTCAGGAGAAAATGCACACAGCAGGTAACGCTGGCTCTTAACAGTTGCACAAACGTTGTTCAAAGAAGCTTAACATCATTTTATTCAGGGAGACGGAACAGGGGGTAAGGGAGGAAAGAACCAGGCGTGTTCTGGAGCTGGGAATTTCCCACCTCTGTGAATGTGCAGCATGAGCACCTTTGTGCATTTGTAGCACTTGCTGATGCTCACCCACGTTCGTGTGCTCAGGTGGAAGGTGCAGGGGGTTAACACCAACTCTTCTGTGATTCCAGATGATGATGTTTTGCTGTTAAGGCAGTTTGGTCACAGAGGGCTCCAACTGAAACCGCACCCAGGCACCATCACGGCAAGACGCCAGCAGGCTCGAGTTCTGCTTGACATGGCCACGTTCCACTAGGCCTGCCATGACGGCATTTTTTCCCGGTGTTCCCAACTGGATTCAAGATGCAAAGCAGGAGGAGGAAGAGACAGGCTGGAAATTAGTTCCCAGGCCAAGAGGTGAAGAGACCGCAAGTCAGGGAAAATGCCACTGTGAAATATCAGAGACCTCCTTCACTAATGTGGACAAGCTGAGAACTCACACGCTTTCTCATACTGAGCAGAGACCGTACAACTGCCCCCAGCTGCACTGTGGCAAAGCCTTTGCTTCTAAGTACAAGCTGTATAGGTAGGTAACTGCTGAGGGCCTCTGCAGAACAATGCTCCTCTGGCAGAAGAGAGGGGAAAACCCCTCCGACATGTTTTTTTGATTGAATTTCTGAGAAGGTGGAGGAGGGGGAATGCCCTTGTTACCTTGCGAAGCAGTTGAGTCCCAGACATTACCATACTTGGCGTCTCTTTAAGCACCTTCCAGAGAACCTCAGATAATACTTTATCCTGAGCTCAAGACGTTTTCTGTTTTACTAAGGAGGAAATTGAAGCAGAAAGTGAAGTTCACAGATTAAAAACCAAAAAGAAAAGCAAGAATAGCATTCACATTTCCTAAGCCCTGCCTCTGTAACTTTAATCAGAAGTATTTCTATGGCACTATTGCTCTAGCATGAAGAAGTAGAGCTCCTATTTACATACTGAAATATAGAATAGTTAAATGATGTGATCGTTAGGAACTTGAAGTGATGAACAGTGTCAGAGTATAAGGTACCAAGGTAAAATCAGTCCGCAGTGGCTGTCAGCAGACATTGCCACCACCCGATGCTTCCTGATGACGTGAAGCCATCTCATCAGCGGACGAGCATTTCTTGTCCCAAACTGCTACGACTTTCTTTGTCCTTTCCCCCTTTGGTAGCCTCAACAGAGAGCAGGAGCTGAGTAGGTGACTGAAGTATCCGTCCGCAGAGGTGACGCGTTGTAGGGAGGCCAGGAACTGCTGAGACAGACCCTAACCGTGGCTCGAGATGTTTTGCTTCTGTGCCTGGAGAGTGGCTGCTGCCCGGGCTGTCAGTTCAGCACCGCTCAGCGGCGTTAAAATGCCCCCTGGGATTTCTGTGGCGTGCAGTGTAGGACGCAAGGAACAGTTTGAAAAAGTAGCATGTGTTCTAGGGCTCGGCCGCTAGTCTAAACTTTCCCGCTTTTCTCCCAAAAGGCATATGGCCACTCACTCTGCTCAGAAGCCTCATCAGTGCATGTACTGCGAGAAGATGTTTCACCGGAAAGATCACCTCCGCAACCACCTGCAGACCCACGATCCCAACAAGGAGGCCCTCCACTGCCCCGAGTGCGGCAAGAACTACAACACCAAGCTCGGTTTCAGGCGGCACCTGGCCATGCACGCGGCTGCCAGCGGTGACCTGAGCTGCAAGGTGTGCCTGCAGACGTTCGAAAGCACCCAGGTCCTGCTGGAGCACCTCAAAGCTCATTCCAGGCGGGCTTCTGGCGGGGCCAAGGAAAAGAAGCATCCGTGTGACCACTGCGACAGGCGCTTCTACACCCGGAAAGATGTGCGGAGACACTTGGTGGTGCACACGGGACGGAAGGATTTCCTGTGCCAGTACTGCGCTCAGAGGTTTGGGCGGAAGGATCATCTGACCAGGCACATGAAGAAAAGCCACTCCCAGGAACTGCTGAAGATTAAGACGGAGCCCGTTGACATGCTGGGGCTCCTGAGCTGCAGCTCGTCTGTAGCTGTAAAAGAAGAGCTGAGTCCCGTCCTGTGTATGGCATCCAGAGACATGATAGGTGGGAAGAGCTTCCCTGGCATGCTGCCCGTGGGCATGTACAGCACGCATCTCCAAACCATGCCAAGCTCAGGAATGCCCCATTCTTTGGTTCCTAATTCTCTTCCCATGGGAATGAGTTATCCTCTGGAGTCTTCTTCTCCCATCTCCTCCCCACCGCAACCTCCTCCAAAGTATCAGCTTGGATCTACCTCATATTTGCCTGAGAAACTACCCAAAGTAGAGGTGGACAGCTTTTTGTCAGACTTCCCTGGCAGCCTGTCTCTCTCATCTGGTGAGCCTCAGTCCTCTTCGCCTCAGCCACCCCCCCTGGATGAGGCTTTGCTTTCCAAGAGCCCTGCTAACCTTTCAGAGGCTCTCTGTGCTGCTAACATGGACTTCTCTCATCTTCTTGGCTTCCTCCCCCTAAATCTTCCTCCTTGCAATCCGCCTGTGTCTTCAGGGGGATTGGTCATGGGCTACTCACAGGGGGAGACGCAGCCACTGCTTACCACTTTGCAACATCAACCTCAAGAATCTCCCGGAGCTGGGGCCTCCCTGAACTTTGGGCCCCTCCATTCATTGCCCCCCGTCTTCACCTCCAGCTTGAGCACAACCACGCTGCCACGTTTCCACCAGGCGTTCCAATAAGCTGCAAATGGCACTGGAGAACAGATCTTTCGGTCACCCTTCTGTGGAGAGCCTTAAAAACGCACAACTCTTCCTTCCCTTTGGGGTGCGAAAGCTTTGCAGAGCTGTTTCAGCCAGGAGGTTCTGATCTCTGGAGGGAGCACTTGTAGACTGGAACGGCAGAGATCCCCGTGCGAGTCCCAGTCCTGTACAGCAGAAAGTTTTCAGCTAATAGACTGGATATATTTTATCTAATTCTTAATCTGTGAATCAGGAGCCACACTTAGCACTGACCTTCCCTGAGAGCCTGGAGCGACGTTCCTCTTTGGGAAGGGCTCGTCCCTGAGAAGGAGTTGAGACTCTTTCATCTGGGGCTAAACTTTTGAAGAGTCCAGCTTCCATTTCATGTTATGACACTGCAATTCTGGCAAAACAGCCGATACCTTCACACGGAGAAGGAGAAGTCAGGACACCCGCTGTGTATGAAGCCAACGGGGAAGAGGCTGTCCTTCCCCACTACCTCTCATCCCATCACCTCGTACCGCTTACTCCACCGAATCCAGCTTACTCCACATCAGTGTTAAGCACCGAGACCGTTTACATGGCGAATTCAGCTCCGTCTCCTCGTTCCTCGTTGCGGAGCCGTTAGGTTAAACTCATTTCAGTGACCTTTGTTTACACAATGCAAATCTCTTCCCACCGTTACAAACATAGGAGGCACCAGGATACACTGGCTTTATATCTGGTGTAGCTAGAACACTGTTTACACGAGGAAGTCAGGTTGCACTGATTTCTCTTCACTTATCACGTTCTTCCCCCATGGGGAAATACACTGCTTTTTCGGACCATTTCAGCCCCTGCCACTGCCGGCAGCAGCTCCCTGTGTATTTTCTCTGACTAGCCACGTGTCAAGGGGATGGAGCAGCTCGCAGAACTTAGCTTGTTTTTGTGGTGTATGGATAAAGCCCTTTGAAGTATCTCCCGCAGGCAAACAGATCGTGCGTCTGTTCTGGAAACCAAAGCATGTGAAGGAGCTGGGTGAGGAGGGGGCAGCAGCACTGAGCACCGTCCGACCAGGCACGGGTGGGAACGAGCCTCAGGCCCCCGCTCCACGGGTTCCCTTGAGATGAGGAACAGAGTACGAGTTTCTAGTGTTTGGTTTGTTGATTGTTGGTTGTTTTTTTTTGTTTTGTTTTGTTTTTTAACCACAACAGTTCAGTGAGGTCAGTACCCTTCTGGCTTATCTACGAAGCAGTCTCAAGAGATAGATTTTTATTTTTATGTTTTTAAACCTCTGTCATAGGGTGATAACAGCAAGGAGTTGGGAGGAAAAATTGGTCCCAGCTTCATTTACGCTCTGCTACTGTACTTGAAGCATTTTTCCCAACACTAATAGTTGCAACAAATGCTGAGAGTTTGGGGCTGCAGTCACCCTTCCACTTCGGATTTGGTTCCACTGCCCTTTTTTGTTCTCTCCTTTTTTTTTTTTGAGCCTTGCCTCTTGAAGTTCTGCTTCCCTTGCTCCCTGCCCCACCTCTTAAACTCTTCCCCGGACTGTCTCCCTCCCGAGGGCAGGAGGGTCACACTGCTAAGTGGCAGCGAGCTGCTGGGTGTCATTTAGCATTGTCTCGTCTCCTGCTCTCCTTTTCCTGGGCCCTGGTGTTGAAGCAATGACACGTGGAGGTCACTCACCCTACAGCAGTCCATGTTTGTGATTACAGACGTGCAGATCCTCGTACCTCAGCATGCAGGAACCACTGTAGGCCAACATAAACCAGGAAATCTGTCAGTATTTTTCTCTATAAATCCAGAAAATGCAAAATCTACCTCTATTCTGTCATCTCAGCTCCTTCCGTGAAGCCAGATGCTGCCCTTGCTCAGCTCCCCAGAGCACCCCCACTGCGGGGCCACCGATCCCACAGCCTGACATCAGCCGTGCCTCGTGTTTCATGGGCTTGTCCCCCTTCCATTTTACCCACAAATTTTATTTTAATTTAGTTTAGGAATTCCTCCCAGAAGGGCTGTTTAGCGATCCATTGATTCTCCAAACCATAGATCATTTGTTTTAGGTTAGCCAGCGATGCTGCAAATAATACTTTTGTATCAAAATGTAATATAAGATTTATTTACCTCAGCAATATCCTGTGGCAATGATCTCCCCGAGTTAAATGCAGTACTTCCTTTTCCCCACCGTAAACGTTGCCTTTCAAAGTTCAACGAGTGCCTTCTTGTTCTCTAACATAGAAAAGGTAAATAGGGCATTGCAGCTCGTCTTCTGTTTACCACCACTGAATACCTCAGTCCCCTCTCCTCCCGCTTTTCTCTTGGCAAACTGGAGAGTTTCTCACCGTTACCAATAATATGCAAGCCTTACCCCTGTCTTCAGCTGAGATTTTTTTTTTTTTGAGAAATAAATGGCCAGAACTGATCACTTACTGCAAGTGAGGATTAGCAGAGTTAACGCGATGCCATCGCACACCTTCTTCTTCTTCCCCTTCCGAGTATTCAGCTTTCTTGCTTTTTGCCTGCATTGTACTCTCAACAGATGTCATCACTGGAATTCCTTTAGCAGCGGTAGCTAAACTTAGAGCCAGGCATCTTTTTCCTCCCAGTAGTCTGTCAAAGAATAAATGGAATTCATTTCACTATTATTTGCATGTGTGATTTGCTTTCCACAGCCACCCTAACCATCGGACTTGCAGAAACATTTGTTAATTAAATGAAAGTTGAAACCAGCAAGGGGAGCGTGTTTGCAGACAGCGTGCACAAGCTGCTACCAGATATTTACACTGGAAACTGGAGTCAAAGTTTTTGTTCCACAGCAGAGCTTAGCACTTGCAAGGAGTTTCTCAGCCAGTCTAAAACTACCGCGTCTAATTGCACCTGAAGTACTGAGCGTCCACAAAAGGAATTATTTACTGAAGCTGATCGGTGAATATCTTTTAGCTGATTGTAACAAAAGACTACGACAAGCTAAGATAAGCCACTTAAATCTAAATTCTTTAGGAGGCGTGTACTGAGCTGTTAGAAAAATCAGAAGTCAGCTTAGCCAAGCTCTTGCTAATGCTAGTTGTAGGTAGAGTGCAGCATCGTGCTTGCCATGCCGTGAGGGTGTCCGGGCTGTGCTGCAGCAAGCAGTTGCTCTGGTTGTGCACAGGATATTTGTGAGGGAATGGCTCCCATTATGACAGTTACATGGTGATAAAAAGTTTCAGCCCAGAAAGGTTTTTTTTCTTTTAAATCAAGGTTTAGGGAGGTTTAAGTCAACGTCCTGCTTTCTCCCATAACATTGTGATTAACAGGGAGGGAGAAACTGCAGGGAAAAAAGGTGAATGAGAAGTGTTCCTTAACCAGAGACCCAGAGCATCGGTGTCAGCGACCGCAGCACCAAGCCTTAGGGTGACAGAGCCGCGTTCTGCGGCAGGCAGCTGAGGACATCGGGTACGGGCTGCAGGTGCTGGGTACCTTTGCAAGTCAAACAGGACAAACACAAATTAAGCCATCTGGAGAGGCACAAAACGCTTTGATAGGAGTTTTTAAAGCAATATTTTCAGAGAGACTAAATAAATATAGGAGACGGCAAGCTAGAGCTAGGCGGGGTCTTACGCTGAAATAGGGCACGGGGACTCAGCAGGATTTGAGGCACTGAGCACCAGGTGTAGGAGAGCAAAACTCTGAACGGCTCTGTCAGAACTGCTGAGCCTCGTCTGCAATAAACACTGTGCCAGCAGACTTCTCATCCTCTTAGCCTACTACGTGCAAGACAGACTGCAAAGATGCAGAGCATTTTAAATGCTAAATGGGCTTCAGGGGGAGTGCCCCCGGACCCTCCCATTGTGTTGTCTTTATTCCAGGCACGTCTGTAGCAGAAAGGTGTCAACAGATTGAGCCCGAGAGGAGCAACTACAGCAAATAATTGGCCAGAAGGGTTTAGTTCAGTAAAGAAATATTCTGAAATATTCTGGAGTGTGGCTGACGAGGGTTCAAGACCTGCAGGCACCGTGCAGATGCCTGAGATACAATCAGAGAGCACAAGGCTGTGAAAGGACAGGACGTGACACAAACGCCAGCAATTACAAATCTGAATGTCCCTCAGTTATCAAAAAGGCACAGACACGGTGTCCCACTGAAATAGGAACAATTCCAGCTCCTTCATCAGAAAATATGCAGGACAACCACTTCTGGGGCAGCGCAGGGTTAACTCACCTAGCCAGCCCTTCCCGGGCTCAGATTTCTGGAGCTGTGTGAAAGTCTGAAGATCTTTTTCCCCATGGGATTACAGCTTGCTGAAAATCCATTTGTATGAAGGAACAACATGTTAACTTGCATTTGTTTCCACTGAATTTCACTTGACAGAATGTCCACGTACGGCGTTTTGACAGATCCTGTTCAGCTGTCTCACAATAGTGCCTGCTCTTTAGCCTTCGTGTTGAAAAATGTTGTCACTTCAATGGGAATCCCTTTTTTCCCTCTGGTAGATTGATGATTTCAGTACTTTTGTTGGGAGCTCAGCTCTTTGTTCTTTAATTCCTTCCTTGCTGACAGGTGAATAGCAGCTGCCTGGAAGATTTCCTGCAGTTCGCCGTTAAAAATCCCCATTTCCTTTCTCTGACATTGCATCACTTTTGCTATCTGCAAAGAATAATCCCACAGAGGCATTTTCTACCGCCTGCAATTAAAATTTTTACAAAGAAATCTTCAAAGATGCTCCCCCCATCACCCTACCTTCCTGCTTATCCTCTCTAATCCTGGCTACTCAGCCTCACTGAATTCTCCCTTGGGTGCCTATTTTTCAGCTAATTGCTTGCCCAAGCCCAGCAGACACTGCCACCAGTGCACGGCTCCGAGCAGAAGGGCTCGAACAGAACCACTTCATTAAAACTTCACAGGTTTTCATCTTTTCCCAATTTTTTTTTTTCGTTTTTTTGTTACTCATTTGTTTTGTATTTTCCCCATGCAGTCCTGCCGGGTGCCCACGGTTCAGCGGATGGGCTGCAAGGCAGCTGGAAGCTGCACTCAGGAGCACGTTGGTACTGCTGAGGCTTTCTTGCAGGACCTCTCGTTCCCGTCACTCACCTGTTCCCCTGCCTCCACCACCTTGCTGCTGGCAGGAAATCCAGGTCCCGCTGTTCCACCTGCACCGGTAGCGGGTGCTCGGGTTCAGCTTCCCTCTGTACCACTGCCCCGACCCCGCGGTGTAATCGCTTCGTTCTGGTGGACAACCAGGATCCTCCAGGAATCCTGCTGCACGTTTCAGACATTTTGTAGCTTCAGGTAGAAAATTTTCTCCCAAAGCATTTCCCCAGCAGACTCCTGTGTGACTTGCACCCAGCACAGACCACGCACCGCTGAGCGCTTCGGACCTCAGGAGCAGGTCAAGCAAAATTCTTCCTGGGTCTGATTTTGTGATGACCAAATAGATCATTTTCTGCTTTTTACAAATCACATGCTGGAATTAAATTTGCTTTCCCATTGAAAGCACGCTTTGTTTCCATGCATACAGGTGCCTTCTGCGCGTTTCTGTGCCTTCTGCATCGTCTGCGCTGGGTGCTCGCAGCTGAAGCTGGGGCTCCAGTAATTCTCTCCAGCAGTGCCTGAACACCAGCACACACAAAGAACTCGTGTGGCACGGAGGTACCTTCTGTCAGGCTGGAGCTCACTGCGACAAGGAAAGTTAAACACACTGCAAGAGAAAGAACAGGGAATTTGGAATCCATTTTTTTTTTTTTTTTTCACTGCCATTAAAGGTTAGCTCGTCATTTTCAGTTAGGGGAACAATCCTCAACAGGAAAACATCTCGTTAACAACACCCCCAACCTCCTTTTCTCAGTTACCCTCACCTTCACTCTCGCCCTCTATTTCACATCCCGTGTCTCTCTTTGAAGCTACTATGCAAACAGACAGCCAGGGCCGATGGATAACGTACTGAGACGAACGAAAAGCTCCACGTAAAGCCCACGGGACAGGAAGAGCTGCCCGTTTTCCTTCACAGCTCACTGTCCTGTGCTTGAAGGTAACACCTGAGCTGCTGCTTTCCGTGCATGCGGGCAGAGCTGGCCCTGGGCAGCTGCAGTTCTGCTGCTGGAAGCCTGGCCTGAATTTCTGACTCCTCCTTGCCCTGCTGAGTGCCTACGCCTTGACTTTTTCTTGTGCTAGTGTTCCCTAATACCTAGAAACTATTTTTAGAAAGCTTCTTTTGTTAATACTTGTACTGGCATTTTACTTGAATGAGGATATTGGACAAAAAAAAAAAAGTAGAGACGTCTGCCTTCGAAGCAGTCACGAGAGGGAACCTGTGGAAGCCACGAGGATTCACCCCGGGAAGCTGTCACACAACGAAATTGCTGCTGGAGGAGGAGAAGCTGCTGCGGGGCCCTCACAGCTGCATCCCGCTGAGAATCCTGGCCCAAAAGGGCAGCACCACTTCTGCTCCTGCCACAAGCTGAGGGCAGCACCAGATCCGGAGCCTGCAGAGGTCCTGCTGTAAGGTGGGGCTTGGGATTTCTCAGCCCTGGTGGCTGATGGCAGGGGTTCAGCTCCTTTCCCTGCAGCTGCAGCCCGTGCCAGCCCCAGTACCTGACCTCTTCCTGCAGCTACAGCTGGCAGAGCCAGAGCTTCCCCTCGTTAAAGCGTGAGTGGTTTTCTAAAAATAAACTTTCTAGCACTTTTACACACGTTGAATAACCTCGTAATGGAGTATTTTGGGGGCTATAAACAAGGTTTTTAAATCGTAAAAATATGAAGTGCCATTAGGAAATGTACAATTCGCAACTAAAGGTAGCTCTTTCCTTGTCTTGCAAAATGAACTTCAAATTGGAAGTTTTTTTAATAAGGAAGGTGTTCATTAAAAGCATTTGAATTACTCGCCTTGAGTGTTGTTTTGGAGGGGAATGGGGTTTTTGGTTGGCCTGTTTTAAAGTAAAGACAGAATCACAAAGCAAGTCAAAGGCCCAGCTTCCTACCTGCATCCACACAGACTTCTGAATCTCTTCCGAGCAGAGCACCAGGGAAGGACAGGGATCCTGCCTGGGACACAGCAGCAGCCAGTGCCGTTATCTGGTGTCAAGGAGAAAAACGTCAGACAGGAACTTTGGTGCCCTGCACAAGGGCAGGGGACCCAGCACCAAAACTTAGAGCTGAAGCCATGACCACCTCGCTGACGCCAGCTGCAGAAGCTTTTTGACAGAGACAAAAAAGGATTCTGCCCTCGCAGAAATCTCTTTTCAGGACGTGGTTTAGAAGCTGACGGTCATTTCTCACTGCTCACATGCTTTTCTGGGTACGATTTCATTTTTGTTCTTAATGCAGCCTGGCAAAGTGCTGCTGCCTTCGTTGTGTTTGGTCTTAGCCCAGGAGGAAGCGGCACATTTTACAACCTGCTTCAAAATGAAAAATGAGCTCGGCACAGATTGTCCTGCTGGTGGAGCTGAAGTCTTCCTTCACCCTTTTTAAGGGTGGAATCGACTGCTCCAATGATTTTTGATTAAAAATTTAAACTATTTCCCCACTGGCCTTGGCAGCTGATCGGCATCACGGACATCCAGCAGCCACCGGCAGCCCCGTAACGCGTCCCCAGCCGGAGCTGCTCGCAGCCCATCGCTCTGCTGGGCAAAAATCCCAAGGGAGCTCGCTGCCCCTCCTGCACCCACCGCCTCTGAAGGCAGCTGTGCCCACAAACACCCCACGGAGCAAAAACACACAAGGGCTGGTGGTAAAGACACCGAGCTGAGAGCTAACAGTGGAGGGGCACCTTCTGATAGCACTGCACAGCTCCAGAACGGAGCAGGGAATGCAGCTCCCTCAGCTGTAGGCTCACAAGGGGAGGGATGTGAGCAGGGAAGGAGTTTCCCTCAGCTGTAGGCTCCCAGCCCCACTGCTCCGAAGCCCCACGGAGCTGCCACGCACGCTGCCAGCCCTCGGCAGTCCCCTCGTGGTGCTCCAGCCCTTGGTGCTGCGCGGGTCGAGCCGCGCGTTGCACACCAGGAGAACCGAGTTGCCTAAAGCCTTCCCGCACAGCACACGACAGCCAGGAACAAATCAAAATGCCTCGACCGGCGGCGTTTTAATCACAACACACAGCAGAATACAGGACATGCCACACTGGGAGAAGCTTCAGTGCTCCATCAAGTTTACCAGGAGAAAAATATCGGGGAAGAAAACTGGAACGTGCTCCAGGCTCTGCTTCTGACTGAAGCCACACAAAGACCACAGAGGTGCCACGGCAGGCTAAACGTTACGAGAAGAAAATCAAAGAGGTGGCTTGGGAGAACCCAGAACAGGACAATGGCAGATTTATTTACAGTAGGGCACAAAGAATACATACATTAATTAAAAATTACAAAGAATACAGAGAAAACACTCCGGGGGAAAGGAGAGAAATCAATGCTGGCTGAGCCTCTCCACGGGTGGGGATAGCAAAAAAAAAAAACAAACAAAAAAAAAAACAAAAACAACCAAAAATCTCAAAGATCTTAAATCAGACCCGACGCAGTACTCCACAGCACAGTTGGCTCGTGCATCCCCTGCTCTCTTTTTTCCCATCCTTGATTCCTGGCTGATCAGACTTTGGCATGGCGCATGGCTGAGGAAATTAGGCAAGGCCAGAAAGATTTGGGGCTGAGGAGGAATCAAAGCATCCGTGAAGCCAGCTCCCTGCAGGGAGCAAGGCCATCAGTACGAGACACAGGTCCCTGTGCGTGGACCCAGTGGAAACTCTTACAGCAAATTTGGATTAAAACAGCCCCAAATCCCTCAAGTGCATGCATCAGTGCTGGTAACAGGGAGGGCTTGGGACAGCTGTGTTGGAATGGTGTCACCTGGGACAGCCGGTCACCTGGAGGCCTCATTTCTTACTACAGGAAGAAGCAAAACCGGATTTTTTTTTATAGATCTCATAAACCACCACACCTCTGCCCTGTAGCCCCGACTGAATCCAGCCACTCTGGGGATGGAGGGAGCCTTCACTGCAACGTGGAAGTTTTTGACTGGTAAACATCATAAATGACCAACATAAAACTTCAAACCTCGCTTAAAAAGATCTTCCCAGGGGCTTATTCAGGCATCAAGCCACAGAAAAAGAGGAGCCTGCTGCAGAAGAGCCCACACTGGCTGCCCAGAGGACTTAGACCGTATTGTGGAGAACAAAATACAGCTGAGGGGGCGTGAACTTCTGTTCCCTGGAGGTAGAGAATCTAAGAGAGGAGAAGAGAGCAGCAAGAGCAGCTGGGGAACAGGGCAGGCAGTGAGGCAGCCCGCTTCTGGCAATGGGAGGACTCCTCGGGGCCACTCCCCGTCCCCAGCCCCTTCTGCACGGCCGCAGCCGAGGCCCAACACTGCATCAGGTTGCTTGGCACTAACGCAACGGCGGCGCCGACTTCAGGCTTCCCAGAACCGTGGGGTTCCCAGGAAGGAAGGAAGCCGGCCCCGTTTCCTCACCCAGCAGGAGGAGAGCTGTGGACACCACAAGCCCCGGCCGTTACCCCACGCATCCTTCCAGCGGCGCGTTCCAGCACCAGCGCAACCGCACGCTTCCACCAGAACGCTGCGTCCCGCTGCGCCTCCCGAAAGAGGAAATCCCACCCTCCCATGCTGTCCAA